TCCTTTGGTTGGCGGATGGATATCACGCCTCTAAGTGCCTTTCGGTCTGGTTTAGTCTATCTGTTAAGGATTAAAATTACCCACCACTATTAATAAATCGGAGCATTTAGCTTTTTAAAAGAGGCTGGATAGCTTCCTATAAAATTCATCTTTCACTTTATCCAAGCTGCAACAGCAGGAGCGTAGATGAAGACAACGAACAGGGTGTATCAATATTTTTCAGAGATTTTCCTGTCCTGGTCCGCCTTTCAACTTAATTCTATACTTACACCAGCGAGGCCGTGGAAAGTATCAGTAGGGTCTCCAGACACGCGAAGGGTAAATCGAGCCGTTTGTTCATTTTGGCAAGGTAGGGCCAAAAGAACGACTGCGTTTGGATCCTGCATGAGCGCTTCGGAGATGCGACATACATCGGTGATGCGAGATTCTACAGTCCTAGCTAAGGAAGAGTGTTGTCTGATCTGACACAAGGTTCAGTCAGTCAGTCAGCTACAGCGTAGGACCAGGCGCACATATGCATCGGTCCAAGTTGCCGTACCACATTAGCACAGCAAGATGAACACCGGATAATATATAAAAGAAAGATTGCATATAAGGATATAGTACACGAAGAAAGAATTAGTTCGTAGAAGGAAAGACATGAAGTGATTTTAATCTCTTAGTTTAAGGGAAGACAAAGAGTGTATACACCGACGCCATTGTGATCGATTCTGAGCCATGTCACCAAGAGTCTCCAACCATTGGTTACGATAGTCACGCGGACCCCAACCAAGTAGTCTGCATCTACCAACATGGCTCAGACTAGAAGTTAGTGACTTCAAGCACTGATGCCACGTTTTGGTTTGGCCGCCCCTAACTTTCTTCCAACCATCTCCAATACCGGTTAGCATTGCACGTCGTGGCAATCGGTGTTCAGGCATACGCAACACGTGGCCCAACCATCTCAGTCAATGAAGATTCACAACCTCATCAACTGATTTACCATCATTCCCTAATACCCTGGGTCTAACCTCACTATTATTTACCCGGCGATCCCAGCAAATGCCAGAAATATTTTTAAAGGTATCTGTGGTCAAATACTAGTAGCTTACGAGTATCTTCTACTCTTAATGGCCATGTTTCGCTGCCGTAAAGTAAAGCAGTATACTCGTCCTTTTGTTGATAGACGGATATCTTGCCTTTGCTATAGGTGACGTAAGTTGGCGAAAGCCAAATGAGCTTTTCGAATCCGTGCTGAGATTTCATCAGACACCAACCCATTAGGGCTGATCAGACTTCCTAGGTAAGTGAAGTTGTCAACGCGTTCGACTACTTCACTCCCTATCCTTAGTTCAGGTGTTGACGCAGACCAGTCCTGAAGCAACAATTTGCACTTAGAGGGAGAGAAGCGCATTCCAAACATTCTGGCATTGTTGCTTGGTGCATGGTTTCGGGAGACCAGGAATAATATTTTGTGAACTCAAATCATTAGCATTGGTGGCGCGTTGTAATAAAGTTTTGAGGGAAGGGTTAGTCTTGGGGGCAGGAGGATTATCAGTAGGCGAGGAAGGGATTTGATTATGGACAAAATTATATTTGGTACTGTTAGAGGCGTTAAAGCAGTTCCCACTTTCCAGCTGCCCACACTGTGGGAGGACATTTCTCTCTGAGGGACCGAGGAAAGAAGCTGGGGTTAGTGGTGGAACGTGACTGAAGATTCAAAGGTAGAACTGCCTCAGGTCAGTCACGCACTACCTTTATGTGGAAAGTTTTTGATGCGTTAGCTTCACACTTTAAAAAGCTTTACTCACGGAAATGGTAATCTGTGTGGTAAGGTGAGGTGTGAAATTCTGATGGTCGACCTCTTATAACCACTTCCATCCGTTGTGAGAGGGCACCGTCTCTGCAGATGATAGTTGGCCGAGGGAAACACCTTACTGCTATCACAACCCCCTGCAGTCACCAGTACGACTTCACCCTTCAGACCGTAAGTTGCAGCTTTAAGTCTTACCGGTCTCCAATCGACCTGCCTGGCACGTAAGGACCTAAAGGAACATATGTCCCAGTCAATAAAGCTCGGTTGAGCCATCACGATAGGCAAGCCCGAACACCACGTCAAGGTAGCAGCTACGGTCAGGTTGGATCAGTGTTTCGTATAGCAGCTTCACCACGTATTCAATGGCAGAGATAAGGCTAGTCCTATTGAATAGGCCTTTTATCAAACCTCGTTTATATTGTACTAAACAAGGGCTATGGTGATTAATATATTGTTCCATCCATAAAGGCTTTCAATACATAGATCATTTGAACCATCTTATGAACTAACAAGTATATTTAAGAAAGAAAACTGGCTGTCGCCCTCCTCTTTGCATGAAAAACGAATGTGACTTTTTATTGTTGAGTTTCCCTAACAAACAATTACTACCAATTTTTTTGCAAGCTACTACAACGTTATCGATTTACCGCCCTTATTAAGTTTTACTTTTCCTAGTAATTCTTCTGGGAAATCTTTAACATATGGCATAAAGAGATCAGCAAGTAGTGGTCCAAAAGGTCGAGTTATAGTGACATTACCAATCTGTCGATAGTATTCAACTTCAACTAATAAATCTTTGGGGATTGTTAGAGAATAAGGAATGAAAAATTACTCAATTAGATACTGGTCATATAGGATATTAACGCTCTTTCTCAGTGGTACACTTTTAAAAACACATTCAAATAGGAAGGACGCTTTGTCTTTTCCTTGATATTAATGTCACATAATTAATAGATCAACTGAAATAAATCCCTCAGAGAGTGCCTACATAAATGCTATTGAATAGGATTGAGAAGCTCCGTTAAACATTTTGTGATATTATGTATAGGTGACCAACACACTGATAAAATTGAATGTAAAGACATGTCGGTTTTGTGAATTTCAGGTAATCCATTTAATTGCTGTTAAAAACTGACTTATTTATTCTTGCATCCGTTTTATAGTCGATCACTTTGAAAATATTTTTAGGTTCTACTGTCGAAGTAAATTTAAGAGTCGAGTGATAGAATGGTTTATTTCTTTTAAAACTGAGTAATTAAACAACTCGAAAATTTAAGTCTGTTGGGATATTCAGGAAAATATCCCAAAAATTATCCTGTTAAGGCTAATGCTATCCTTGGACATGAAATGGTATCATCTTATTGGTCAATATTTATTTAACGTATCATTTTCCTGTTGGCCATTATTGTACAATGTTATTTTCTATTTTGTGGTACGTTGTGGTCTGCTTGACTCGTATATAAACAAAGTATGTTTGAAATATAAGGATTCATAAATCCGAGGCTGAAACTTGTGTTCTGGACTCAATCGGCTGGGCTAGACAGGGAAGCGGGACCAATCAGAACCCTAGGTCGTTCTACGTGTTTGTGCGTCTTTGGTCCGATCAATAATTCGCTACCCTTAATCCGCAGCATCATTTTCACAGTTATAACAAAGTCATAAAGGAAGTCAAAACTCGAGATTTAGCTTTTCATTCTACATATGATTTTCATTAATATCGTTTTAAATTCAGCTGGGATAATTCAATTGAGATATCCCTAATTATTCATAAAAAGATCTAAAAATTTAGTTATAAATTGGGTAATCACTTGCGAATTATTTACAAATCGAAAGATCTGTGTTAATATTTACCATAACTCAGTTATATCTCTTACTTACTTAACTTTCTAATAGTTTTCAAAATGGGTTGTGATTAGAAAGCGTTACTAACTAGCAGATCTTAGAATGGTGGATAGTTTTTACTCAGATTTATTACTGATTTTCACTAATCATACTAGATTGATGGAGAACGCTTAGTCGCTTACCAGTAGAGAGCTCGGACAGTTTGCTTGAACTAACGGCATCTTTTTGTCAAAAACCCTAATTTTTTATTCTTGCCAGACTAGTTTATTAGAGAAATTCGAGTGATAACACTAAGATGGTTTAGAAATTATGGAATGATCTCAATCAAAAACCTAATAATCTCCACAACCCCTATACTAGTAATCAACATGTGCTCACTAGTGACTAGCTTCGTGAGGGAATTATCGGAGTTCTATTGAGAAGCCGTGATCAGTGGAGCTAATCCATGTTGGGTAGAGACAGGTATCTACCTCAGTACAATGGAAGTTGGTCGCGCAATTTCGTGGATTGGTTGATGTTAGACACTATCGCCATTGGATGCAAGTTAGTGACCAACTTCGATTCATGTTCTTTAATAGTGTAAAACGTTAACATATCATACAGGGAAGTTTGTGAGTACTAATATACAGACCTTGAACTATGACACTTAAAGAGAATCCTACTGATCTATCTTAAGCAGATATAATTTAAGAATGATGAACCAAGTTAAAAATCCTGCAAATTATCGGAACACTATCTGCTTTACTAACTTTAGTATTAAATAGATTTGTTTTCCGAAAACAATATATGCATGTTTTTCAGGAATATATCTGCTTAAACGAGGGTTTAAGTCTCGAGAAGCTTAAGTACAAGTAGCCATATCACAAGAGTAGAGCAACGGTTTGAGTATTCTCATGACTTAAGACTGATTTATATTGTTTACATTTTTCTGCCGAGTACAGATCTGTGAAACTGTTGTGTTACACTTAACGGATCAACCTTGGCAATAGAAAACTAAATATTATCAAAAGATTCCGTAAATGATGAAGAGAACAAAGATTGGTATAAATATACAGTAATAAGGCATGCCTTAAGCTAAACATCAGCATTTTCTGTGTTGACTGAATCTCATGAACTTCTACCGTATTGTGTATTTTCCTAATACCGTAAAAAATCATTTTGTATTAGTTAGTTACATTATGGATAGCTTGAGGGGAAGGATTTTAAATAGCGAATATTTACGATGATGCAATTGCTTATTGATGTAAATTAATATCATAACGTATGAACTTTACCTTAAGATTTAATTTCGGAACTAAACTATATTTTGTACATTGTAAACGAATAATCAAGTGAGTAGTAACGAATTTTAGGAGAAACTTACGTTATTTTCAAAATGTTGGACACCGTACATGTATTTTCGGTTTTTAATGTTAATTGTTGGTTGATTAATTCATTTGAATTTTCACCTAAATCGTCTAGACTACCTGCTGTGAACGTATTGTTGATGTGTTGATTAGACAGTTTTCTCAAACGTTCTCTCTCCTCTCTAGCTAATCGAACTCTTTCTTTTCTAGCTGCGCGTTCTTCTGTTTGTTTTCTTATTTGTCTATCTACATCAGCACCAACCCGTGATTGAATATTTATCAAATCTGACTGAATATAAGCAAGAAGCCATTTCAAACCGTCACGAATCGCTTTATCCAACTTTTGATTAGGTAGTAATAAAGCACAACAATGCTCCTAAAAGTGAAAACATTCAAGTTAACCAATCCAGTTCATCATGTGAGAGTGAATATCAAAAAGCGTTATGTGTGTGAAAAGTTTTACACTCTGGTGTCCATACAGAGATCTGCCTGTCTGTACATTGAATATAAATTATGGTCCCCTGTTACTGATCATTAACAACTTAAGTTTTATACCTATAGAAAGATAAAGACAAATTAATTTTCTGGGGTTTCATGTTTAAATTTCTGACGAGGTCCGTCGAACAATGTCAACCTGTTGAATGTATAAAGAAACTTGATGAGGTTCGGAGTTCAAAGGGCTTTTCTATGTTTATTTTATTGAGATTACGAACTGATCTAAGTTAAGGAGTCATTGAACACCTGGAAGTATTGAAAGCCCTCTTCGTTCTGTTATGAGACTCCCCAAAAGTGTGGGACCACAACCACGCGACCAGGAATGAAACTCAGGAACATAGGTTTAGCGCGTGGACGCTTAACGTTATCAGCAGATTTATAGGGACCAATGGAACGAGCGTCATGAAAAAAAGGAGTATACCATATCACATTCAATATGAGCCATTAGGAGGCACTTGCGTTTATTAGGGCCATATGTATGTATGTATGTACATATATTCCGATTGTTAGAGTGACAGACAACATTCTTTCTGGCCAAAGTTACCAAGTAGTTGTAACGGGGTAAGCATAAAGGAGAGGTGAACCTTTCGAATAGTCCTACCTGAAGTTTATATATTCGTTGCACAATTACTAAACACTTGAATTGTTCCTTCTTTATGTTTTCTACTTGTAGGCCTTCGTTAGCCCAAGAATTACTATTGGATGTCCAAACTTTCTTAAGTTACTGCTAATTCATCACCAATCTATTACCCAGGTCTCGTCCACTTGTCGTGTAGTTAGGCCTGTATTACAATTCCTTAATTACGTTGAACGTGGTCACGGTTTTTTTGTGGTTGTATGAGTCATAAATTTGAACTACGTGTTTAGAAGTTATCTACATGATATGTTGTGTTCTATCCTGGCTATTGGACAAGAGAGTATGGGAGAACTGCGTTCTGAACCAATAGTCGTTAAGTACTGACCTCAGCTATCGAGCTATCATCGTTTCATTGGTTAGCAGGTCTTTGGTACTACGTAAGCAATCTAGGAGGAATAATCAATGGTCGGACTAGGTTATACGACTGCTCTCTTTTAATGACTGGGCGACCACACGAGTCCCAACATAACATCAAGCCTGGTTTTTCCATGAAGTCAGAAGTAAAATAGAAATAAGATTTACATGTACATAAAATGATCAAATGTAAACCAGTCGATTATAGCTTACCAAGCGACAAGGGCATTTATATTCATTGACAAGATCATCCAGCTGGAGTGCTGCTATCAGCTCCGACTCATCTAACGCACCTTTAATATCTCGCTTGTTTGCTAGTCTAAAGTGATAAGCACAACCCGTTACCTTGTGTAACCATCTCACAACTTACAAAAGAATCGGTTTACCGGATATACAAGGATGGGAAAGAACATTGACTAATGCTTCGTGACATTCTTCTAATCTCTCTGGCGTACTTGAATCAACCACGAATATAACACCATAGACTTCAGCAAAATATGTTTCCCAAATATCACGTATTGTACGACCACCACCCAAATCATAAAGGTTGATATTAAAGCTGTCGATAGCAAATTCAATACGATCAAAGCCGATAGTTGGAGCAACTAAGTCACTGGAGACTTAGGTATGAATGTAAATAAAATTTTTGGAAACGTGATCACAACATACCACCCTTTATGCTGAGAGATATTGTTGTCTTTCCAGAATTATCCAATCCCAGGATGGCAAGAAATATTTCTCTATATTCAGAATTAAAAAAAATCGAACTATTATCAAAGCTCTAACGGATTATAATATGAAATATCTTGGTAAATGGGATGTTACTAGTATCTAGCCATCACCCACTATGATACTACTAGGTATGTATTAGTAGACAATTTACTGACTGGTGAACTACGAATAAAATATGTAGACATACATACTGACAAGAACGCATGAATCTGGAAGGGGTACAATATATATAAATAAATTACGCCTGCAAAAATAAGCAGTGTTATTAACACTATTAATAACGACAAATTTAATGGTCAGACTTATGGTGACAAAAATAGATTGAAGAGTTGTAATAGGAATTATTACAGCACTGTCATTTCTTGTTAGCTGCAAAATTTTTGAAGGCTATGTGTGTTAAAAATAAACATAAAACCGAAGTTGGATACTTTATTTGGTTAAATTTATATGAAAAGCCTTATAATTATAAGAAATCGATTGTCTCCATGTTATACATTAGTCATATTAATATCAAAAGTGTTTCAGGTTTTGTGGTTACTAACAGATTCTTCTCTACCTAGTTATTAATAATACCTTCAGTGTTTATCCTTGGAACACGCACCGACGTTGTTGTTTAATAAAAAATTGAATACAAGCAAGGTTCACTACCAACAAATATATATATATATATATATATATATATATATATATATATATATGACATTTAACATAGGCTTCAATTATGTTTTTTTGTATATAGATTATTCTTTTTTGCTATATAAAACGATTCATCTTTGCTGTATTGTCATTTGTAAGTGGTCTTCCCGAGACCACATTAACTTAATCGATCGATCGCAATCAACATTATTATTTTTCTGTGATAACAATATCTTAGCATATACATAATTGTAGAAAGACACCGCACCAGAAGAGAGCAGATTATGAATAAAATTGACCAGAAGTGAGCTAATCTGAATGCATACTTGTATTTTAGGAAATAACGTTCAAAACAGAACTCATTCAGCTGTCTAAATAACTTGCGAAAACTTGGCTGCGCGAATTTCCCAGCACTGTGAATAAAAATGACGGTCAAAATAGCCGTACGCTACAACTCACAGAACGACTGCAGTCATTCCATACACATAACGTTACTAATGTTCATGATTGAGTTAGTAATTACTGTTTTCATCAGTAAACGATGAATGTCACAATCTAAATTATCTGTATTTCAGAATTCTGGATGTCTACCTCGCTTAATGCACTATCTGTGCTCATTAAGCTTATTGATAAGCATGTCTTTCCATTTCCGGTGTATCTTTGATGAAAATCAATTTGTATTGTTACACGTATTAATCTGAAGGGAACACCTTACTGCTGTCACACCCTGAACACCGATTACCACGACGTGCAATGCTATCCGGTATTGGAGATGGTTGGAAGAAAGTTAGGGGCGGCCAAACCAAAACGTGGCATCAGTGCTTGAAGTCACTAACTTCTAGTCTGAGCCATGTTGGTAGATGCAGACTACTTGGTTGGGGTCCGCGTGACTATCGTAACCAATGGTTGGAGACTCTTGGTGACATGGCTCAGAATCGATCACAATGGCGTCGGTGTATACACTCTTTGTCTTCCCTTAAACTAAGAGATTAAAATCACTTCATGTCTTTCCTTCTACGAACCAATTCTTTCTTCTTGTACTATATTTCTATATGCAATCTTTCTCTTATATATTACCACCTTTGACCTAACCACTGCTATGAATCCGGTGTTCATCTTGTTGTGCTGATGCGGTATGGCAACCTGGACCGACTGACGTGTTAATCAAAAAAGACCCTAACTACATATAAAGTGACAATTCTTTGAGTTAATAAAGAGCGTTGCTTGATTGATAAATGGCAGACATCACTAGTGCGAGAAGTCCATTCTTCTAGAAAGCCTTATAACTATACTTTGAATTGTTTTTTCTATTTGGAAAAGGGATTTACTACAGGATGAAATGAATAACAATTGGTTGCTTCTATAAATCTAAATTAACTAAGAATGGTATCATTCTCAAAACATGGCAAGAACTTTATTTTGTTACTTACTCTTCAAATCCATATAAACCAATAAGTTTAACCATTTAAAACATTAACAAAAATGAGAGCTTCTCAATTAAGCCATTGAGCCAATGGAACATCAAACCATTGATCCATCTTGGTGAACTGTAAGAACACCATTTTAAGCTAACACGTTTTATTGTTCCAAAATACAACATTCTTAGAAAGTGAAGAAATGATTTATCTGTCAGTGGTGAGTATATTTCAAAGGGTAAGATTTTTGATGAGGTTAAACTTGAAGCTTGATAGACTTTATGATTGATGTGATAGATTTACAATATTGTAGAATATAGGATTACTATTCAGTACGACTGATATTTATTGAAAACATGTTAAAGGTGAGAAAGAAACAACCATCTTGAGTTACACCCATCAAATTTTACTCATGATTAAATGAATATTGAAAAGTCTAATTGTTCGCACAGTATATTTACGATGCCAAGAGAGTTTAGTGTTAATCACCGACTCGTTTTAAATAGGAAGGTCATTATTATATCTTCGAATTGCTACAGGCTTCAGAAATCGTCATAAGATAGAAATAGTTTATAGATACACTGTATATTAAAGTAATGAATGAACAATTCATTTCTTAAATCCCTAAGTATGTTGACATTCTAAAGTAACTAAATGTACCGCCATATGTGCAGCTGAGGGGAAAGAAGCGAAATACAGTGGAATTACCATATTTTGCAAGCAAAGTCGTCTTGATTTCTTTAAGAAACAGGTTATTTTTCTTCTGCTGTGATCAATCCTTAAAGCGTAGAGTAGGATTTATGGGTAAGGTCAACTGTTATTTGACTGAAAGTGTTGAACCAATTTGAAAAACTACAGCACTATGTTAGGGGGAATTAATCGTAAAAAATTATTATTCAAGCACAACGTTTGAATAAATCACGTTTTTAATTTTTAGTCACAAAACTGAAAAACACTTACTTCCAACAATTTTAAAAAGCTGGTTATCTCAACTTTTAAAGCTTTGCATATTTTATCCGAAGCATTTATTAGACCACAAACACTCTGTAAATGCGGTGGGTGCTTTTATGAAAGGAAGTATCAAACTAACATATGACCTGAAGTATCAGTTAGTCGGTTATACGCAGCATAGAGTTTGGCACGAAATGTGCATCAGTTCAAGTTGGCACACCGAATAACCACAGAGAGATGACACTATCAGGGAAAATCCCGGAATGGTAGATGCAGTAACAGTATCAGCAATGGAATAAATTAGGCATGGACAATGCAACTAAGAAAGAAAAAATAAATTACATGGATTCGAAACAGTACAGAAATATTCTAAAACTCAAGATCTAAGAGAAAACAAAGAGCGAATGCGACTGTACCGTCGCAACTGATTATGAGCCATGTTACTCAACGTCCTTTGGAAATAACTCGGTGAAACATTCAGAAGCCATGCATACATGTACTTGACGAAGTATTACAAACTCCACCTCACTTGACATTTTAGAGAAAACTTCGATATAAGCAACTGATGTGGGGATAATTATTCGATGTGCGATGTCGTTTGTGTACCCAAACACGTAAAACAAGTGACCCACTAGGACCACGCTGGTTTTTTTTAGTTAAGCTTGATTATAAACTAATGAACAAACAACTTAGTCTTCTGTATTTAAAAATATAGTTCACACAGACACTAATCCATAACATTATAAGACTGACATTTTCCTTCATGCCCACTGTTAGGGAAATCACCACTAGACTCATGTGTGTTGGAAAACAGAAGCACAGAGAGATTTAAAGCCGAAGACTAAGTGTACTTTAATGTAAAGGGGTGAAAACGCATATCTCTGTGGTTTCTCCATAAAAGTGTATATTATAATATCTCCTGAATTCATTAGTCGTATAGTCAGCCAAAAATAAATACCGCGTAAAACACCTAAAGATCAAGTATACCATTTAGTCAGTTCAAGACTTTAAACTAAATTACTGTTGTTAACCACCTATTCAAATATTAATGTACCGAACTTTTTAACTATATGAATCTTCAAAAGAAACAAGACATACTTATTGATTTATTTATTTCGATAATCCAGGTTTAAAATACTTTAACGCTACATATACGAATATTGGCCGCACAGAATTGGTACTTTTCAATGTCGTTCTGCAAACCACTATCGACAAGAAATATCTTCTTGTATTTGCGCGATCACTAATCTTTGTTATGTCAATACCCTGATAATTGAATAGGGTACATAACCTGTAATCTAACTCTAGGTTTTTATGTTATCAGACAGTCAGTCAGTAACAACGTAGAACTTCGTACGTACGTACGTCAGTTCGAGTTGCCATACCACATTAGCACAGAGATGCAGTTATCTATTCAAATCCCGTAGTGGTAGAGGTGGTTTTTAAGTTATACGGAAAAACAGCTTAAAAACTTCTCAGATGATTTTGACCGATCTGACAGAGATAATACCAGGGTACGACCTCCATAAGAAACATGGAAAAGAACAACCATTTATCCACAAAATCAAATAAGCTAGTGAATTTAGGGTCAAAACTTCATCAACCAATGTGTACTAGAGACCCTGTTTGTGAAATCAAGTAAAGAACAGTTGATAAAACGCTAATATCTGATAATAATCAATAACAATTACTTTGTAGCAGAACCGCTGTATTTTTTATTTGCTTGAAGCATACTAAATAACTGATTTCAACCAGTTCACATATTTTCATGTCTTGTAGTAATTTTAAGATCTGAGGAGCGATATAAAACGATGAGCAATTTATGAGGCAGAGTAATCGCATCGCCATATTATGGCAACCTTATGTGTGGCCATCAAAAACCTATGATTTTAAAAGTGTCACAGTACACATCTGAAATACATGATTAATATAATTTTGATCCCAAGATACTACAGTATGCGCATTTACAGGTCCCCACGAGCTCTTGAAGTTTAAAAAACCGTAGGTCAGTTTGTGAAGAATGCCTTCAAATTTATGTCCCCAATAACAATGACTACATGTAGTGAGTTCTAGATACATGCTCGCCAGAAGCGGTTATGGGTAAGAATTAAATTGGATAGATGATTGCTGAATAAGGTTTGACGAGTGATGACATATCTGCTTGTGTATTTCCTTTGACCTCTAAAGTGATAGAATACTTGTGTAATATCATGGGAGAGGCTTTCTATTCCTTATATCTGCCCATCAAATGGTGACCGGAACCTTGCACAATAGTAACACAAAATACTGTAAACGCAGGTTTAATAAGACTCCTGTCAATATACTAAGTTTATTAGCACTATATTCTGTACTAAATCGTTGTAAATAGACATAAAAGTTTAAAATCGGGAAGATGCAACCAGCTTTACAAATAAACTTCTGAGATACCTATTACATATTAGGAGAGATCTATACGGAGATTTTGAAGTTTTATTAGTATGATTATAGAATTCAACATTACGATGAAGTGAAGAATTAATACAGCTTCAAACACCAGTGAAAAAACTTTATTTTGAAAAATGATAGTATAAAATACAGCAATTTAAAATTACATTAATCTCACTCAACAGTGACTATTGTGAGAGGTATGCTTTTTAGCAAAATGTTAAGTCACATAGAATGTGTGGTAAACATTTATTCACTTCTATCAACAGATCAGCCTTTCAGAAATAAAAATAAATAGTTGTAATCCATTGAAGACATAAAGTGTAGAAAGTATCAATCAACTTTATTCCTATCTCGACTACTAAAAATGATATTAAAACGAATACACAGCCCAGCATATTAAAAAAATCACATACTTGTTATTATTTTGTTTACGCCTAACAAACGTAAAACACGGAGACATGTTTATACATCCCCGACAAGGGATACAAAAGCACTTTGGGTGATTCAAATTAGTTGCATTATTAATAATTTTAGCAGATGCCGAGTAGTGTGGATGATAAGCATTCGGTCAGGAAATATTATGGCCAGAATTGGAAGGCCCAAACGAGGGAAAAAGCAAATAATGTGTCCTGGCAAGATTATCTATCTAGCGTAATGAGCAAACAAATCAGATAAATGAGACCGAGTGTTACAAAGCAGTCGCACGTTGTTATTTACGAAAAATGTCAAGGTAACATACAATAAAACAAACTACTTTCTGTGTACGGTAACTCTATGATTGTGTAAGTTCCAACTTAAAATGATCAACACTGAAATATACAAAGAATGTTTTAATCATAATACCAATTTTCTGCTGTTCGAGGCAATCAAATTTCAGATACAATTACTCAGAATATAATCGTAATTTGACACGGCAGAATCTTTTCCGTTAAGGTTCAGATACACTGAAGAATAGTTACGAGTCTTCAACTTTTTAAACCTAAAAATGAATCAATTCGGATTCTTCAACTGCGTTTAAAATGTCAAGTTGAAAGATCGAATAGTCTAGATCTTTTATGTTCAGCGGTTTGCGGATATTTCAAGCATGTTTGCCGTCGCATGTGACAGATTTAGTGCTTTGTTTCGAGCCCTTCTGTTCGCCTTGAAAATTCTTGTATGAATATTCTGTTGAATAAATCCAATACCGCGACCTTTCTAACAACTGAATGTTTAATGTCAGATAAAAGTTTTCGTCACTGGAGGTCGGGTATTTATAAACAGAGTCCAGTGTAAGACAACTAACTGATCGCTGTAAAGCACACGAGCTGGTGACACATAGGTATTGTCTTCTCGATTCAGGTTGGAATATTTCCTATGTAAGTTATATTATATCAGAATAGTCATCGCAACCGGATAAGAAAAAGATTGTGAACGCCGTGCTCCGTATCTCATACGACTACTAGTCATCGTAAGTTAATCACTTCCTTACATATCGAGAGCATGTCAAATATATCTTTGAACGTCGTTGCTTCTGACTTCCGATTTGACTGGGTTAGCATGTTTCGACTATATAAGGTGTTACTGGTTGAGGTGTTGTCAAATTCCGAATACGTGTGGCATCTTCAAACCAATGAGGTCAGCACCAATGTAGAAGGCTAGCAAAGCCATGTATATCGAGGGTTTCTTTCCAGTGTATGCTTCATTATTGCACACTCGCAGCCAACCCTAGCTCGAAAATCAAGGCTTGCGGTTGACAGAGGTCAGAAGAAACACAACATGGTTAGCCCTCGTAATCGTAGTGGTCCTATTTGAGGTGGGTTTGTTTAAACTAATCCACGCGTTTTAAAAAAGGATCAGAGAAGACTTTCCTTTTGTCTTCAAATCAATTACGTGGTAAATGTTCGGGATCTAATATTTCATCACCCTTCTTTTCCTCTATGACAGAAGGTTTACATTTCGTAAAAGTTCGCAAGCTCAGAATCAATTGCATGTTAGCTGACCACTGAATTATAAGTACGTGGAGCTCCCTACCTCATCGCATGGTTCAATTTCCATCTATCGATATGCACAAAAGTTGTAAAAACTGAAAGACTTCATCCACCAGGACTAACACAGGGAACCTAGCCTCTCGTCTCTCTGAATTTTAATCCACCATTTGAAAAGTCCCATATGGAAAACTGGTCACATTGAAACTCAAATTATTCTAGTAGCATTAAGTGCCAGCGAAAATATACAGGACGAAGCACACATCCTATCATGCTTAAAAAGGTGACAGAAGTGATAAATTCTGCCTGACTGTGATTGATTGATAGGTCAAGTGTTGAGACTATTAAACTAATAGTTGAGAATAATTCATTACATTATTGCAAACTGGAAGCTCAATAAGATGTTTTTTGCGGTATAAATTTAGCAATGCTGTGAACGTTGAAAGTTGATTTTAGAGCTAGGAAATTATTTTCTAGTTTTCTTTGCAATGTCTTCGCCATAAGAACAGTTTACTGAGCGGGCCAATCGAGTACACGAATCAGGCTGTTGAGTTTCGTCTGATGTTTGCTTTAAGTGGCTATGCCCACTCGTCGTAAAAATGTTGACTTAAACAGACTGAAACGTTCCTGTAAACGAAGCAAGGTATTCGAGTTACTATCTTTGTCGTAAGTATTCAAAATATTTCCAACTATCCTCAGTTACGTCCAATACCTCCTGATATCCATAATATGGGGAGTACTGTTTGTAGTAAATCAATCAACGGACATGAGGTTTGAGTACTTTTGGCCTGTTTGGCTATCTGTTTGCTCAATACACGACTCACTGAAGTTCCAAGGACTGGTAAATATTATGTCTGTTCATATTTCACATGCAGCAATACACAATTGTCTTCATTATTATTTTGATTACAGTTGATCTAATGTGTTTCTTCTTGATCCCTGCGTCATGGATTTACACATTCGGTAGTGCGTATGTGTGGCTATACCTTTTTCGGCACACTGGTTAGTGTGATGACTAACTGAATAATAAAAGTTTCAGATCAAGGGTTGTGTTTCCTCACTTTGTCGCTGTGTTTTGTTTTCATATATTTTGAATTTAGTCTATACTCCAAAGCGACAAAATCCACTCAGAGCATTTATGTCTTCCGTCCATTTGCAGCACACAGGTATGATGAAATTAGTGTGATTAAACGCCCTTAGTATTGGCTACTCGGTAGTATGTGTGGGATTTTCTCTAAAACGGTACCTGGATATCAGCTATCGAGATGTAGGTACTTTTCAAGCTTTATATAAGACGCTTAGTTTAAAAGAATGAATGTTAGAAGGCAAAATTACCTGCATTTTCGAATTCTTTATGAAGCTCTCCCACCGTCGTCGGTAAACGACAACGCTTGTAAGTTTCTGTTACATTCAAACATACTTGAATCAGACGTTCAACATAGTCTTGATTATTTTCAAAAGGATTCCCTAGAAGTTCATGAAGTTGCAATGTCTGATGATGTGAGTCCTTATCTCATTTTTTAAACCTCATTACTCCTCTACCTTTAATATTGTAGTACATTTTTGAATATATAGATTATATACAGCTATATATTTTAATGGTTTGTCAACATCTAACTGATCATGATGCTCTACGAATAAGCAAGACTTACATCATTTAAATATTTACGTGAATAAGGATTCTGCTTATGCCAAGATAAAACGACTAGAGGTCTTAAGTGATCAGCTCCACCTACCAACGAAATTTAAAATCTATAGCCAACTTTATGCAGTGAGGATTATTTGTTCCTGATAAGTCAATGTTAACTGTCTTAAAGAGTGGGTCCCTAACCATATCTTATTAGTAGTTGACGTTTGGTAGGTAAACAAAATTCTATCATTTTTCAATCTTATAAAAAGGGGAGTAAACTCCCTCATGATAACAATACAGAGTCAGCTTAGTTTGTTTGTTGTCTAACATATTAGCATTGATAACCATTCGATGCCTAAATGGAGATCTGCGGCAGCAAACCCGAGAAAACAAATCAAGTTCAAATTCGGTCTTAACTATGTAGTTTCAGTCACTTGCTAAAGTGTGACGCTTTAGCCAATACGTCAACTACCATGTTACAGTGACAAAATTCTGATTTACGCCTCATGGAGGATTCATTTTAGGAGGTTTAAACCTTCCGGTATTGTTTGGATCTACAGTCACTGACTTCTCAAAGAAGTGCTATTTTCTGGTTTGTTCACTGTTTACCTTTTTTCAACATGATCTAATTCTCTTTGAGCGTATAATTTATAGTTTGCCTAGACATTTGCTGTGTATACCAACGGTCTTCTCTTTAAAATCGTCTGTTTGTTACCAATCAGAACACTAAAAAGTCATCCAAGTACCTAATGTTTTTTCTTTTACTTTTATTTTAGACTGATAACTCGTGATTAACGACGTAGAATTTAAGCCCACAATACTGACTAACGAATCTCAATAGGTATACAATACGGATAGTTGTGACAAAAAGTTGAGTCATAGGTACATAGTCCACTAACTGTTATTTCCGAACTGTTGAAGGCAACTCAACAGCTTATCGGTAAGATCATAGCTCTCAATCGGGAAAGTATTCAAATACTGCGAACTCTTTCCTTAGTAAAGAAACAGGATATACGCAAACTGATCCCTCCAAAAAGTTTCCATAGTTTCACATTTTTGCTCCTTCTCCCGTCACTAACATCTTTTCGAAAAATTGATATTGTTTACACTATGATCTTTGTGTGAGTGTTTAACTTCTGTTCTTTCTCCGTGTGACTACAAGTCACTTAATTCAAAAGAATGGTAAAATATCGCCTAAGCCATTGTAGCTTACTACCAAACTATTCCTTGAACAGGCTGTAGATTCTTTTCATAATGATGCAAATAACATCCTTGCATGACTCGAACAATAGTCTCCCCTTATTACCCCAGTCTGAAGTTTGCTGACATGCTAATGGGCATTGTTACCAGGTCCTGCATTGCTCACAAACGAATGACAATGCTTCTACCACTCATTATGTGAAAACTCCCATTGTTACGTTGACCCCCAAAGACATCTTGGTCATTAGACATGGGACCACAATATTAGCACCAACTACCTTCAAAATCTGGAAAGATGCGCACCTTGATTGTCTTACTTTGTTCTCTCTCCCTTAGCCTAATAAGATCGACTAGTAACCACTTGATGATATCCGCAAATTTTTATTGTCAGTTCTTGCGACTAATTTCATCGCAGACTAAGTTTGGAGCTAGGCTATATCAGTTTGAGTCTCACTGTCACATTCTCGTAATTGTTGAGTTTATTTTCCGCACACTTTGCAACTTGAGTGAGTCTTTTATCAACAGGTATTGTTCTCATTCATCCTTAGAGTTTCATACGATCACAGTTCAAGGTCTCATTCTAAGAAGAGATGCTCAAACGTTCTTCCATTTTACCCATAGTTATATAATTTGAGTTTCAAAATTATTTCATACTTTTGATTCCAC